CTACGTCCTGTGATCGGACCAAATAAAAGTTCCTAAATCTCATGCCCATACCCACCAAAATATTAATCATTCAATCACTAAGTCATCATTTAGTACCGAACCTACTGATGAAATTCATCATTGCATCATCATAGTCCAGATCCACTTTGCCTTGAAGTAATCCACACAAATCTCACTTTAACTCATCATCATGTACCCACCTCAATATCCTCCATCCTTGAAATGCCTCTCGCTAAATCCAACAACATGACTTCTCCATTGTTATACACTTCTTCAGCCAAATCTAGTAAACCCGTGTCGGGTCGGGTTGACTGTTCCAAAAATTGGCCCATTTATAAAAATATGTCGGGTTGACCCGAATCCAAATAGTGACAGATCAGAACCGGATTCAACCCGAATCCTAATAGTGCCGGATCAGTTCCTGATTCGACCCGAACCCGACCCGTAACCTGAAATTGACACCCCTAACTCCAAAGGGTGGGCATATGTAGTAAAACATGATTTAGTCCCTAAGCTACTTAGTAATAAGCATTTATTGCTCATAACTTTTTATGGATCCAATAACTCAAAAAGACCAATTAACCCATGAAATACATTTATTAACTCATATAATACACAGTAGACGTCTGACAAAACTATAATTAAACAAATTTAATTTTAAAATTATCTTGGTCAACTTCTGATTTTTTCGTTTACATCTCTCGGGAAGTCACGTCAAAATAAAGCTTGTCAACTTTCCGTCCGAACTTGGCGTAGTCACAAGTGATCAGCTGTTCTATATTCTTTTGTTCCAGTCAAGCTACCCGTCCAACCAAAACAAAGATGTACCAAATAGAGATTTACAACCGTCCGATGGGTGTTCTCGTGTCGCAAGCCGAACAGGAAATCCTGTAAGAGTCTTTGTTCACCAAAAGAAGCCTCTAGGGGCCCGCACTGTCCTTAGTGCGTTTAAAATTCTGTATCTTGTGAGTTTCGTGGCCTTTTTTGGTCCTTATATTTGTGTTTCTCTATTTGTTCCTTTTGGCTAAAAACCCGAAAGATATTTACAAAACATCACAACATGCAACTCCCTCTCATTTGGCAACATAGCGTCTACATTCAATGAACCACAGAAATAGTCTTCAGAATTAAAATATCTTACAAAATAACGCTGCTTTCGCACTACAACAAGCACCTAAATTGGATTCAAAGGTTTTAACTTGGTAACAATTGTATAACATTGAGAAATATTTTTACACTTATTATTCAAATGAATACATCTTCACGATCACTTTTATAAACTAATAACAATAAAAAGAGGTTGACTTACATTATTCTATTATACCACTCATCTATAAGATATATTTAGTATAAGTAATTGTTGGCCGATATCTTTGGGGGTCGAAGGGGGAAACTTCCCCTGGCGGGGTTCGACCTGCTCGGTGAAGTTGCGGGGTCTAGGGACAACGCCCCCAGAACAAATTTTGATTTAATATCTCTTTGTATTTGGTTCATCATTCCCTAACAATAACAACTCTATGCAATGTATTTAATTATACTGTGGACAATTACCTAAAGATCATAGTATTTTATAACTTTTAGGGGGGGGGGGGCAATTGCCTAAAAATTCTTGTAATAAAGACTAAAAAATATATTGAGGGGGATAAATTATCTAAATAATCATATCATGAAAAAAAAACGCCCCTCCGTCTAAGGAGCAGTTGTGACTTATGTTTATTACAAAATTATAATTTTATATCGAAACTTTATGAAAGACTCAGATATATATATTTTCGAATGCCTCAAGCTTTGACATCTAAAATAGGGGAGCAATTGATACGTTCACAAAAACTGCCTTTATCGAGCATGAATCTTGAGGCATATTCAAATTAGCATTTTCTAAAATTAAATTCATAGTTATCTGAATTCCAATTTCAGAAAACTTCAAGTCAAATTAATCGTCTCAGTAAGACAAATCCTACAACACCAAAATATCTGTGATCTAAGATTAAATGGGCTCCAATAAAAAACTAAAAGAGCTTTAGAGCTTTAATTAGAAGATCGTATGGTATGTAATTATGGCAGGCTTATAGTCGAATCGAGCGGCTAGATGAGATTAATTCAATGAGCCCACGGCCACTTAATTCGGACGTCATTAAGTCAATTAAATGCTGAATGCTTTATGATCAAGGAAATCAATATATGGGCCGTTAGATGAAGCACTCAAAATTTGTTCTAAATCTACTCATATTTATAGAGCACGCCACTCTTAAAATCTATAAATAGGCATCCCACTCTCTATATGAAGGGGGGCATTTTAGTTAGAGAGCGGAGAGAGCTCTGAGACTTCTAGAGCTCCACCACAGACAAACTTCCATTAAACCACCACCGACTAGCCTCCGACCATCACTGGACATCAGCCCGACGACCTAATACTATTGGACCTCCACCCATCTGCTGACCATTACCGGATCTCCGTCGGATGTCTTCTTGGTTACTTACCACCTCCGGACCTTCACTCGATTGTCGGACCACCGCCTGGCCTTTAACAATCACAGGACCTTCGCCTAGTTGCCTACCATCGTCGATCTAGCACCAGATTGCCAACCGCCACAAAACCACTGCTTGACCTCCGACCATTGTCTGACCTCCACCCGACTGCCTACCACTATCGAACCTCGGCTCGATCTTTGACCACAGTCAGACTGTCGCCAGATATTTTCCTGGCTGCCTACAACCATCGAACCTTCGCTCCATCGCCGACTAACGCCAAACAGCCGCCTATCTCTAACTATCGCCAGACCTCTACCCGACCTTCGGTAGTAGCCAGACCTCCACCCGGCCTCCTAACACTGCCAGACCTCCACTCTATCACTAGCCACTACCTGATCGTTGATCACCACCTGACCTTTGCTTAATCGTTGATAGCTACCAGACCTTCATCTGATCATCGACCTATATCAGACCTTATTCTGGTTGATGCTATCAAGACTTTCGACCTCTGTCATCCGAGCACGATCATTACAAACTATAAAAAACTCATATGAAGCTCGACAAACTCACCAAATTATTGTAATTTCACCATCTCCAAGTTAAGGGGTGGATCAAGCTTTATAACTCACTCAAGTAAAGAAGAATCTTCTCACCTGGGCAAAACCATGCGATTTTTCCATTTTATGGATTTCCCACATAAAAATGTTTTGATGTTTCCTTGCTCTCTCAACTATCTGTTTGTGTATTGGATATGCGTGCATCATTAGGAGGAAAATTTCTCTTACTCTACCGTGCAAATATACTAGCCAACAACAATAATTATAAGCTCTATTCTATTTATTAGTTTTTATGAATTATGCCCACCCTCATCAAATGAAATATAAAAAGTCTAGCATATTATTAGTTGATGGCCTATTAGGCTGTAGGTGAGTCAATATGCTAGCTAGCCAACTCAAATTAAACTCATTAACGAGCTAGTGAACAAAATTTACCTAGTCACATACTATTTCTCATATATTACATGACATCAAATTTGAGAGTTGTGCTCATTGCTCTTGTTGGAACCACTTGATTATAGGGGTGTCAATTCGGATCAGCGGGTCGGGTTCAGGTCGAACCCGGAACTGATCCGGCACTGTTCGGGTCAACCCAAATCCGACCCGTTTTTAAAAATGGGTCAGGTTTCCAGACCCGAACCCGACCCGACACGAATGACCCGAATTTGAGCTAAAATTGCTAATTTTCGGGTCAATATTTGTTTTTCGGGTCAAAATCGGGTCAATCTCGGGTTTTCGGGTCAAATATGAGTTTTCGTGTCACTTTCGGGTCAATTTCGGGTTGCTGGGTCAACCCGAACCCGACCCAATTTTTAAAACGGGTTGATTTGTTCAACTCGAACCCGACCCGTTTCGGGTTCGGGTTGACCCGAACCCGGATTTTTCCGGGTAGGATTCGGGTCGTGTTTCGGGTCGTGTCAAAAATTGACACCCCTATTTGATTATATCTTAAATCTGCACCCTAATATGTGCTAATCCATCTCGAATTCGCAACTCGATTCCCAATTCCCAAAAGCAAAACTATACATGAGCTCAAGTTATAAACCAATTATAAGATAAGTGAATCGTGCTTGACTCAACCATGGTTAGATTCGTTTAGACCCACAACAGCCTAACATCTTTCATGCATTGAGTTAATATTATTTTAAAATAACATTAATAATGAAATTAATATGATAAAAAAATATTTTCATTAATATTATTAAATAATAGCAAAAATATCAATCCAATTAAAAAATAAGCATAAGCTATTCTCATTTAATAATTAATGCTAAAAAAAAAAAGCAAATCACATAGGGGGTAAAGAGAAATTATTGTGTGCGGAATCCGAATACATTCAGATTTCAATCACCGGTTGCCACGTCAACGGATGCACTACGGGGCCCAGTGCATCGAGTGACATGGCGCATGGTGATTAGAATCCGAATGCATTCTGATTCCGCACATAATAATTTCTTCAATTTGACGGGCATCATTTGATTGTAAGATTTAAAAACTTCAGTGTATTCAAAATATAATATTAATAAAATCATCTATTTGAAATATTTTAAGATATTTAGCTGCATGTAAAGAAAAATTTAGAAGCCATATTTTTTCTATACCATTATTTGAAATAAAGCAACGGGCCAACCGCGGCATGTGGCGGGCGGCGGTGGTGGCCTGCGCGGCGTGGTGCCGGAGGGCCGACAATGGTGGTTATCAATTTGGAAGGAGGTGGCGGCGGACGAAGCTTCACATACGTGATGAATTTAAAATGCGTTCAAATCACAAAAAATTACAAATATATTAAAAAAAACTTATTAAAAAAAATTCAAATTTTTAAATAAAATTACTTCATCCATTTTTCTTCTAATTCGACAGGAAAAAATTGAACTCTGCTGCATTTAATTTACTTACTCAGCCCATACTTGCAACCAAATAATCCCTTAGCAATTTCTCCTTAGTGATTAGATGAGTGATGGCGAAGCATACCTGAAGAGCGAGACTTGAACGAGATTGTACGGCCACCACATGGCTGCCGGCTCAACAAGATACCGCCGGAATATTCCCGCCCATCCGAAACCCAAAATCTATCACCAATTTATTAAAAAAAAAAAAAAAAAAACTTACAATAAAGTATTTACATCGAAATCTTAATATTTCCGATATAATAATTGATTTATAAGTTATAATAAAGGGAAATGGAGCAGGCACCTGTGTGGTAAGGACGACGAGCAGAGAAACAAAGAAAGAAATCTTCTGCCGGTAAAAGACCCGAACGGCCGTCACAATATGGATCGCATAAACGCTTCCAGCTCCAGCGTTGGCGAAAATCGTAATCAGAACATGTTCCTTAACACTAAACGGACCCGGATTGAGACTAAACTCCCATTTACATCCAGCAAAGAATTTCCGATCCGGCAACAACGCCGCCATCATTCTGGCCAAGGGAACCACGGCGATTTGGGCGGAGATGGAGGTGATGCTAAGAGGCTCTTTGCGGTACCAGAAAAACTGGTTCAAGAAAGAGAGGAGAATACAGGATGCCGTTCCCAAAATCCACATCCGGGCCGTTACGACGGCCGCATTTGGGTCGTCGGTGATGGGAACGGTGAGGGCGACTTGTTCGATTGGAGAGTTTTGAAGCTCATCTTCAGCGGGAAGGAGAGGATTTGTGATCTCCTCATGTAATTCTTGGAGGCGATCGTCTGCGTCCTCCATGGATTACTTGCTAAGCTCTGTTTCTCAGTTGAGAATCAGCTCCAGGAGATGACTTCTCCCTATCTTTCTCTCTGCAGTGGTAGATGGACATTTAAAATGATTCAAGCTCAATCCATGACCCTGAATATCATATTAAGAATATTTTTTTTTTCGATTATATTGAAACACGTTTTCCTCTATCAAATATTTTTATTTGGGACAAATAAAAATATATGTAATGCAAAATTTTATAAGTAAGATAATTTTTAAAAAGGAGGAAAATTATAAAATATTTAATGTTTTTTTTAAATAGAACAATATCTTATATTTTAATCATTTTCTTTATAAAATGCAAAAAGAATAAAAGTTTTTAAAGAAAATTTAAGATAAATCTATTTTTATTACAAAATAACAACAATAATTTGCATCTTATAAGTAAATATTCTGAAGAAATATTTATTAAATATATATTCATCAACCATTATAGGAATCCTTAATTGGCTGTAGCTAAGTGGATGGTATCTCGACATTCCAGATGGGGTGACACTGGGGAAATTATTGGGTCAGGTCATCGGATGTGTTCGGAGCCCAATGAAATGCGTCACATCACCTTCTATTCGGTACTGAGCTCGATACTGAGCAGTACCTAGCTCGATACTGCTCAAAACCGAGCTCAGTACTGCTCGGTACTCAATACTTCATAGTACCAAGCTCAGTACTGCTCAGTACTGTGAATACCGAACGTAAGCTGTGTCCGATGACCTGACCCAATAATTTCATGTGACACTAACAAGCATTCAAAAAAATATTAATTTTCAATGGATTAAAAATTCAATTAGAAATACATTTAACTTATAAAAGAATTAATTAAAATAAATTATTTTAGACAAATTAAATAATTTCATATAAATTATTTTAATTAATTTTATTTATATACTTTTAAGATTAAATTTTATTATTTTAACTTTATATATATTTATATATAACATGACGAACTTAATTGTTTTTATTAAACTCATTTAAAATTAATTATGTATAAAATAAATTTATTTTTTAATTAATTTTTTATTAATACAAAAAAAAAAAAATACTGCTCCGCGCGCCTCTGCCTAGGCCTAAATTTTATTTCCCATAACGATCTGGCTCCCTGATCCCGCGATTCGTCTTCTCTGCTTCGCTCTTCTCTTTAAAGATTTCCTTCTTCAACTTAAATCCATCACGATTACCTGCTCTGCCTCCGCCTACAGCACTAATTTTTATCCTGTTTCTTGCTCGATAGCCTCGAGCCCTCGACCCGCCCTGGAAGGAAAGATTCATCTTGATTTTGCAAATCTTTGAATCTCCGATGAACACAAGCCCCTTCTTCATCTCAAGGTAATCAAGCCAATCTTTGAATCTCTGTGCTTCTTTGAAATTTACATCGAATTTTATGTTTTATTGCATGAATTTTTTCATGATACATCAAGACTGAGTGAAGTTTAGACTTGATTCTTTTCATGAATCTGAGCTCGGTTCCATGTGCTGCATTTCTAGAATCTCATCTTATTAATAATCCAACTGCTTCATTACCCTCAAATAACCTATAATAACGGTTTGAAATTATGTCTCTCGGTTGGTATTACTAATATTTGGATTGGGATTGATGTCACTTCAAGTATTCATTGCCTCATGAATCTAACAGATATAATTTGCAATTTGGATCTTTGTTTATCTTATTAGAGAAATTAATCAAATGTTAGTTTTTCTTAATTTTACTATTTCTCATGTTATAGAGAAGGTAATGCTTGTGCTAATTGATTAGCCAATTTAGATTGTAATTTGAATTGCCTCACTGATTTTACTGATTTCAATTTATCTAATTTACTGAAAGGCATGATTAAGTTGGACAAAATGGGGTTAGCTTATGTCAAAATTTAATATTTTTGGTTCCTTGGGCCTTTTGGCTTTTTGTCTTCTTGGTTCCGGCTGGTTGGTTGATTTTCCCGAGGCTTTTATTTCTGATAATTGGTTTTTAAAGGTTGGGTTGCTTTGTGATTTGTTTAGTTTTTTAATCATCCCGCGGTTTGGTTTCTCAAGGGGTATCAATTTTTCTTATCCTTGTCATCATCATTTCAATAATACCTAGTGTGTTGTTGTGATGGGCATGAGCTGTAATTGAAATTTTTGGTTTCCTAATGTTAACCCTATTTGTTGCTCTTCTTCTCCTGGGGGTGAGTTTAGTTTCAAAGGGCTCTGCCTTTGCCTACTTCTATTTGGTAGGGGTGGTTGGCTGGCTTTATTGTTGGGCAGGGTGTATTGGCCTTCTGGTGGAATTTGGTGTTCTTGTTAGCTGCTATTTCAGGGCCTTACTTAACTTCTAGTTTTTTAGTTGGGGTTGGGAGTGGCCTGGTGTTGTCATTATGGTTATGTTGCCCTATTTCCTATTTTTCTTTTATATTACTCTATTTGGGTTTAGAATTGAGCGGCATTGGGGTTTACTTCATGATGTCTGCTTTGGTAATTTCTTATTGAGCTCAACTGGTCTGCCTCATTCCTTTCTTCTGGGTTGTTGTTCTTGTTTATGGCCCTTATCGACGTGGTTCATGGGTTGGTGCTAGCTTTGGTTATATTGATGCCTTATTTTTCACTTCATATGTGGTAATTTTATGTTGCATCCACTTTGTCCCTGCAATTTGGGTGATGGCTCTAGCGGTATGAGTTTATGTTGCTCTGCAAACCCTCTGGGTGTTTTTTTGAGGTTTGGTAGAGTCATTGGGTTGGCTTTGTTGTTGGACAGGGTGCTTTGGACCTCTGGGTGGTATTTGGTGTTCTTTTTAGTAGCTTTTTTTCTCTTATGGTTTGTTCTGCTAGTTTGCTAGTTGGGGTTGGAAGTGCCCGGGTGTTACCACTTTAGTTGTGTTGCATTATATCTTATATTTCTTTTCTATTAATATCTATGGGTTTAGAATCGAGTGGCACTGGGGTTTTTATCATGATGTCTGCTATGGTTTTATCTTCGTGAGCTCATCTAGCCTGCCTCACCTCTGCTTTCTAGGATTGTTGTTTTGGTTTTTGGCCTATAAGGCCTTAGCCCATTGGAGCTAGACTTAGTTTTTGATCTTTTGCTATGGTTGGCCTTCCTATTTCTGTTTGATGGGGGACCTCTATTTTGCTATGATGGACTAATTTTATTACTCTCTTAATTGCTTTTTTGTCTTGTTTATCATCCAAAAATTTTGTTTGGCACCATTATTTTGATTGTGCTGAAAGTAATATCTGGAAGGTTTGCTACAACTGTCGTTGTCTACTCTTTGGTAATCATTTTATATGATTTTTGTTGTTTTCAGTATTAATTATGAAAAATACATGACTACTCTTAATATCATTATGTCCCTTCATGATGTTCAATTGCATAAATATTTATTGTTTTGTAGGTTGTTTTATTTGATTTGTTTTTTTACTTTTAATTTTATTTTTTTCTATTACTTTTAATTGTTAATTTCAATGTCCTTATAGGCCTATTTTTTTAATAGTTTTGGAGACTTGTTCTCATTTTGTGCGGGGCCCATTTTTGGTTGGAAACGCTGAGTTGAATGGATACAATTCTTCCCTTTCGTTTTGGGTTTTTAGATTGTTATTAATTTCCTTATAATCGTGCTTGGTGGGGATATACGACTCAAAAGGTTCTTCTTTTATTTTTCTTGTAGCTCTTCCGAGTAGTAGTGAGCTTAAGGTTCCATTAAGGACCTTGTACTCCTTTTTTTTCTTTTAATGTGTAGGCTTGTTGGTCGGTATCAACAAAAAAAAAAACCTAAGAAATTTAAGGCCATCAAAATCCGACTAGGGTTTGAAATTAATTTCTAAAATAAATGTATCTACACTTTAGAAATTATGTTTTAGGTGATCTAAACCATGAATTAGATTAAAATTAGTGTTTATCTAACCCTTATACCTAAGCTAACAAACCACATCAAATCAAACTCTAATGACATATGAATTTGCATTTAAAAAAAAAATTAATTATAGTCCTAATCTCATTTGCTTGCATTTAAAATGTGGGGTTATGTATCAGATGCTGATTACTAACCATTTTCTTTCATTTGTGCAGATGGATCTACATATTATTTCCTTCACCGTCCAGTTGGGACGTGGTGCTAGTATCCAGTTAGGAGATATTGTGATCAATACTAGCAATATTGGAGCAACCATTCAATTTGGTGGGCTACAATTCCATGGATCTATTGAAATGACTACTGTTGCCCTTGTGTACGACATGGAATCTGAAGGGCCTATCAGGAGGCCCCACTTTGGTGAAACCTCCGCTCGTCTGCGCATCTACCAAACTCATGATCTATTGTTGTTGAAAATCCTTATATAAGGATTTATATAATTGAATGGTTGTCACAATCAAAATCCCTGGCTATGAAAAGGGTTATAGTCATACGAAGAATTTTTATGGTACCTATTAGTGCTACTATTCTTTCAATCGGGTTACCTGCACTTGGGAACCACGATGTTGAAGCCTCATTATCTAGAAGAAGGCTTATAGGAAGGCAAAAGAAAAGAAAGAACGCTAAGCCCTTAGCTCAGCAACTAGTACCTTTCCATACCTCAAACTTACCAACACAAGAACCAGAACCAACAATCCCTACCATGAATGGGTTCGTGGGCTTGAAATGAGTGAAGAGGAATAGCTCAATTAGGGAGCTAAAGAAGTCTTTATAGGACCAGTAGTGTGAAGTCCCAGTCCCTTCAAAGAAATAGAACATGAAACCTATTGCGAATCTGAGATTATGGATTAGACTTTTGATGATAGCAAACATTCATGTTTTTCTACGGCTGTCTTGCTTACTAACTTTTCAGGTCCACGTGATCGAATGCAACTCAAGCCAGCTCAAGATTGGGTAAATTTAGGTTTAGTCAAGTCAGTAATTTTTCCTTTATTGAGTCAATTGTAATAGTGGTTCCTGATGCTAAGTAACCTTGCACACACACACTTAAAGGATTTTCTGTGTTTTTATATTTTGAGTACATCGACCTGGACGATGTTCATATCGGCCAAGACAATCCGACTAAAAATAGAAAACCTAATTAGGACATCCTGGTTAAGCAGCCGTCATTAAGCACATCGTCATGGACGATAGGCTCAAACCAGAAAGAATCAGCCGCCATGATCAATTTAGGT